CATACATACATGAAAGGTACAAGGATTAGAAGGGTCACCTCTGTAGGAGTCTTTCCAAAAGCTACCATTTTGATATATATGCCTGGTATAAGACGTTCCAGGACAACTTTAAACTGATAAGCACCATATTCATAGCAACAACTGTCACCTAAAATATCAAAAATCAACACTGAGAAGTGAGAACTTGAATTTGGAAAATGCACTCACAAGCTACTAAACCCTTGCTTTAATAACTAACCCATTCCAGACCATATTACAAGAGGAACTGGCTCATCCTCACTAGCACTAGATGCAGGAGGAGAGAAGAATAGAGCAATGGCCAGAGCAGCAAGTAGAAAACCAGCCATTTGACAAGAGTTAAAAATTAAAATAGGCTAAATAGCTCATGATACGGAGAATATGCGGTTTTAAGCTTAGTATACTGCAAACACGTGACATCAATGCTGGGTTTAATAAAAACAATAAAATCATAGATATTATATTATGTTAAAAATCAAATTTCAATGGATCGACAAGACAAGCTTGCTGTGTTGCTTCTACAGTAGCTGGAGCATCTACAACAGAAACAGTATTCATTTTACTATTGCAATATTTTGCATGAACTCACTTAAAATAAAAGGATCACTATTACCAGCATCACGTCTAGCACTCTCTACAGCTCTTTTAAGAGCAAACAACACACCACTGCTCATTAGCAATGGAGGCTCACCAACAGCTACAAAATAAGGACAATATCATGCATTAAACCACTGCATACTAATAGTAGAGTAAGAGTTACCTTTAGAGCCAAGTATTCCTAGAGGATTTGGTGCATTTTTAAGCAGCTCAACTCTGAAATCAATAGGAATATCTTTAGTAGTGGGTGGCTTGTACTCCTGAATAATAAGAAATATTATTAAGAAACAAGAAGAATAATAATAAGAAGTTTTAAAAAATAAGCATATACCGTATATAGTTATGCTTACCCATGTGTTATGTGTTAGCAGTGCTCCTGTATCTTTATCATAGACAACTCTCTCAGTTAAGAAATAGCCCAATCCCATCACAAATGCACCTTCAACTTGCCCAACATCAATCTCAGGATTAATACTGTCGGGAGATGGTGAATAGTGATACTATATGCATGCTTAAGTACCTGTCTCCACAATCATATAAGAGATCAACTCTTAATATTTCAGTTTGTCCTGTCAGTACATCAAGCTCTACTTCAGTTACTGTGGTCCCATAAGCATTATAGGCAGCAAATAAGTCATTAGTAGCAAACTCACTGAATTATATCAGACTAAAATCAGGTAGGGACACAATCCAGTGCTTACTAGTGTTTCTCTGAGAGGTCTATTCCACTAGAGAAAGCCTTTTGTACTATTTGTAGCCAGGTGGGATCAGACACATCATCTGATATCAATCCTTCCTTCACTTTATCAAGTCTTTGCTTTAATGACTGGCAAGCCAACAGTGCACCCTGTAGAAATTAATAGAAATACAGTAAAATTTCTATTATTATGGTCAAGAGTACATGTAGATCTACTCTTGTTATGGTACAATTAAGGTAATATCTTTATAATAGAAATGCAGTGGTAAAATTTTGCCTGACTAAAAGTAGTGCGTAATGGTAAAATTATTATAATTTTTTACATTATTGTACATTGTAAATGACATACTTTACAGTTGATCTCACTGGTAACGCTGCCACCAGTTGTAGTGTTGTTGGGGCTTGTGAATGTATTAGTAGGTACAACAGTAACTGAGCTCAATGGAATACCAAGAGTACTGGCAGTGACCTGTGCAACCTTCACAAAAAGAACATTGTAAGTTAATTTTTAATACATTCATTCTATTTTTGATTTTTATAACATTATTATCATACAAGTAAATAAAAAACATTAAAAATGGAAA